GGGTGGGCTGGGGGAATCCCGTGTACAGTTTTCTCCTAGGCAGATGGAAGAAGTACATGGTTACAGGACTTTGGAGGGGTGCATAGGAATGGCATGGGGTGTTGGTGGCAGAGAAGGGCGATTTGTCTTAGTTCTTCTTGCTGCAGGTAAGGGTCTCAGATTCCAACTGCCCTCCTGCAGAGCTGCAGTGACGGACGTGAGTGGAGGGCGCTCCTCATTTGATCATGAGGGTGGGGGGATGGAGGGAGGGGGGGCGAGAAATGGACCCTGAAAGGCTCCGCGGACACATATTGTCTAGGTTGATGTCTTGCCGGCTCTATGCTGCTGCCTCTGGGAGCTTTTGAGCAAGGTAGTACCCGCCAGGCTTTTCTCCATTTCTCTCCCCACTCCTTTCTGCCATGTGTTTAAAGAGAAGTGAATACACTGCGAAAATAAGTTAAAAAAAAACCTTTCTCTGACTTTCCATTTAAGATGTCAAAAGGATTAAATAAATGAAAGTTTATTTGACGAGGGAGTTTACTCGGAGACTCAGCGACATCTCTGGTCTTTGGCCTTATTCTAATTCCATGGTGGTAATTACCCTTCGTTTCTTTAAGTGCAATAGATTTATTGCCTTAGAGACTATGCACAGTTTGATTGAATTATTCATTTTTTTCTTTGGTGTAGACTGCATCTGGGGACTCTGATGTGACGTGTAGATTTTTTTTTTCAGGAACAAAGGGAATGTGGAAATGAAAGAGAGAGGGAGAGAGAGGCTGGCAGATGTAATGAGACGCGGTGAAGGTGTACGCAGACTGGCACTCCTCCCTTCTGCTCTCACTGCAGCCCTGGCTAACGCGCAGGCTAACACAAACAGCTTTTCTCCCGAAGCCTGCCCTCTGTCACTGTAAGTACATCAGCCTTCTCTTATCAGCATGCAGATTCCAGCCACGCACTCCCCCAGCTTCGGTTTTGCACCTTAGACAGCAGACACACATTTGAAAATTAACTTTCCTAAGCTAGGAAAGGCATGTCTGCAAAACTTATCTTTTATTTATCTTTCTTTTTCTTTGAAAAAAAAAGTTCATGCATTTTTACCACTTTTCCCCAACCTCCTTTGTGGCATTGCTCTGCTGCTACTGTCGCTGTGGCTGTGGTCTTCCCACCAGGAAGACACACAGATTCAAATGAAATTTAGCCTTATTCTCCATCCACTTAAAGTTGAGGGACCATGCCCGCTCTTTTTGCAAAATGATGTCTTAAAGAATGCAAAGTATTATTCACAGTTTGCCTGTTACTTTTGTTGCTGAAACAGGAGTTCCGACCTCTTTGAGGTACAGTCCCAAGGGCATAGTAACTTGGGAGTTTAGGTTATCTGGCTACTCCAAACTCAAATGAACTGCTGGAGTGTTGGGATGTTTGTTATCCTGATTTAAGAAAACCAATTGCGAAACTTTTCTCCTTGCTGTGAAGTTTTCAACTTCTTCTTCTTCTCTCTCTCTTTTTACATCCTTTCACCCAGTCTCCGTTTTAGCAAAAGTTTTCCTCTGTGTTTTGGGGTGAATGACATTTATGCTTGTACTATTTACACACTAGCTATGAATCCTTTCCTGCAGGAAGTTAGCAACCTTAGGATTAAGTCACGTAGATCTGAATTATCTGCCCGCCGGGCTTGTGTATGTATGTAGACTTTTAAAGCGGGAATTCGAGGTTTTAACGGCCGTCATGATTTTTGCGTCGGTGTTTTAAATGTTAGCTTCTGGAGTAAAAATTAATCGCGTTGCCCTTCCCAAGTTCAGGGGGGACCTCTTTCCAGGAACTGTGCGTGTCTTGTCTTGGCGAGTTCCCGCCTCTTCTCTGGAGGTGCGAGGCCAAACTTAGCAATGCTGAGTTGCCTTTTCTGGTTGCTGTACGCTGGGACACGGGCACCGCACGGTGGCGGCGACCGCCGGGGGGCAGGTAAGTCAGCCCCACCCTCCCGTTCCTTCTCTCCTCTCCTCCCTCCTTCCCTGAACTAGCAGGGTTCTAGCGCAGCTAGGAGCTCCCGTGCTTAGGAGAAATGAGCTTTTGTGCTCCGGGATCTGGCTGCTAAGTCTTGGTGCCTTCCACTCTCCACGGGATCTCTCAGAGCCGGTGGGCCGGTTCCGACCCGGTGGAGAGACTCGTACTCAACCTGCGGCCGCTCACCTCCCTCCCATCCACTGTCTGGCGCAGCCCGCGCCGGAGGCTGCCGAGGAAACCCTTGGCAAGCACTCCCGCCCCCAGGGCCACGTGTCACCCGGTGCCCTGCCTGAAGTGTGACACCGGGATCCCAAACTTGAGTTTCCTTCTTTTGGGGATCAGTGTTGCGATCCACTTCAGGTGCCTCCTTAACAATCTACTTTGGAACTAGTTTCTTAGCTAAAATCTAGAGGGTTTCTGCCGCTCCTTTGCAGAAGGCTGGGTACCAGGGCCTTGGAGGTTAGGGGTTTTGACGTCTTCTTTTTCTTCTCGTCGCTAGGCAAAGGCCTGTACGTGGTCGGAGGGGAGGGCTCTGTCTTCAGTCCGGTGAGATTTAACAGGTTAGCATGCCAGTGTTTGGAAAACAACAAAACTTGTCTCCACGAATGGGAGGAACCTATTGGGCGCCCCAGTGTTTCTGTGCCAGAGGTTTCTTTTGGTGGCATCTACCTGATGAATTGGGCGTTGGCATTTAATCTATCCCCTCTTCTCTTTGCAGGCATTTAGGACAGGACATTCGATTTTGACCTCTTTAGGTTTGGAAAGACTTTCTGACCTCTGTGTTTGAGTTGTAGGACAGGCATCTGAAGACTGCAAGACTCAGGAACCAAGTGCTTAGCCAGGTCAGCAGTCCCCTGTCCACTCCTACACATAATTGGAAAAGATTTCTGGACTAGAAATTCTGGTAGGACCTCGTTCCTTGGTCATCAGAGGTCAAGGAAAGGTCTGCAGGTCTAGGAGACCCGGTACTACTAGGAGTTGGCCTGCAAAGTAGCTGGGAGGTACTCCTTTGGACCTCTAGACTCAGGTGGGGCACATGATTTCTTGTTCAGGACTCATTCTCCAACCAACCAACCATCAGCAGTTTAACACAATCCCTTTACTACAAATACCAATACATCTTATGTCCTGTTGGGACAGAAATAATTGGCTGTACCTTCCACCCTACTGATTCAAAGTGATCCTCTCCACCCTTATTGTTATACTTTTAATCTTTCTTTTCTTTTGCTGGAGTTTATATGGAAGCAAACATGGAATACACATAAAGAAGCTAATATATTATTGGTACCTCAGCTTCTTCCATTTTTTATGCATGCTTGGAAATATTCTCTCCTTTTCCTTGAAAGTTAGTGTAGCAAAGATGAGATTTTTCTCCCCTTTATTTTTATCACTTACTTTATGAGAGATCTTCGATTGCCACAAAATTGTCTGATTTTCCTAACCATGGTTCCTGATGCCTTTCTTGTAGTCTATATCTCTTTTCACTAACTTTCTGCTTGTGAGATGTCTCAAAGTGACCACCATCTCATATCAATTTCTACACAGTAGAAGCCTTTACAAATCCCTGCAAGTTAAGGCTGGTTCATTAGAACCTCTCTCCAAGCACTTAATCTTGATATAGTTTTGATTCTCCACTGACTTTAGTTTCTTGAATCTAGTGTGTTTCTTTAGGCCTGGGTTAAGGTAAGCCAACTTACCCTTGTACACACCGCCTCTGGTTAGCTCTGTGGTGATGTAAAAATTAATTTTTTCACCTTTCTCTTTTATTCTGTATCTTGACTACCATATGCCACTCATCACTATTACCTTCTTTATTGTTCTCCATGTTTTTTTCCATTGAAATAGTTTCAGGTCTCTGCTCCTTTAGGCCATTCTGTGCCCTTCACATCTTTCATCTACACATGAATCAAAGGGAATATTTAATTTGTGTAGGGTTTTTTGGATCTTTTATTAACACAATTTCTATATTTTACGTAAGCAATTATATGTGCTATCCTGAGTGAGTAAGAACTCTTCATCTCTTGCACCTTTAAGTCACTCTTCTCAAAATTATTTCTCTAAATATTTATGAAATTGAAGGAATACATAGATATTACCCACTCGATTCTATGCATCAGACTTATCCATATAATAAATGTTGAACTATTGTATTTATTGTTAGAAAGTTGTAAATTCTTTTGAATATTCTGTTATTAATAATAATTTTAACCTGCACACTCCATATTCCATATATTTCCAGGACACTGACATCTACATAAATCAGGAGTCTACTGTCAATTGCTTTTCTTTTTTCCTTCCGATTTATTCTCTTCTGTCCTTTAAAGTGAGTTTTTCTTACTGGGATCTTACTAAAACATAACTTTTTATCATTTCTGCTTCCCTTATCTATCTTTCTTTCCTCGTCTTTGACCACTTCTTTTTCATCCTTATAATTCACCCTAACTTTCACCTTCTCTTCCTTCTTGTTCTCCTTCAATCCTCTCCTTCACCTCCTGTGTTTCTCCAGTGACTCACTTTTGTGGTCCAGTTCTATAACTCAGTCCTTCTAGCATCCACCCATGCCTCCTTCTGTCACCTAACTTTTCCAAAGCACTAGTTTCTATTCGTACACTTCCTCTCCCACTGGGCTTCCTCACTTCTTTCCGTTTGGTACTTCACTGTTTTTCTCTCCTCCCACTTGCCTAAGTTCCCCTCCTTTTCAGTTTGCCTTCTTCATTCTTCCTCCAGCAGTCCTAGACCTATAAGCGCTCCTTTGGTCCTTTCTCTACAGCCCGTCTCTCCTCCACCTAATAGTTGTTCCTATTCCCCTGTGACCTCCCAACTCGCTCTTTTCTTTGTCCCTTCCAGTAGTGGCTTCATTCGGTCTCCAGGCGCTTTCTCTAATCCCAACCTCGGGTCTTGCTGGTCTCTGGGCCGAGTTCTTGCCGGCTCTTTCGCCTCTGCCTCCCTCTTTCCCCTCCTTCTTCTTTCCCCAGCCCTTCCCCCTCCCTCCTAGCTTCCCCGCCTGGCTCGCCGCCTCCCTCGCCTCTTGTCTCGTCTTGCCTGTGTTGTCTGGGAGGGGAGCCCTGCCTCCTCTCCCTCGCTCAGATCAATGCCCTGGCCACTCACTTTCTGATGTTGCACGACGGGAAATGCTTTGAATACTTACGACATGGCCGCGCACACTGATTGCCAAGATTGACAGCACTAACCATCGCCTTCACTTGTTTCCAGGGGGAGCCCCTAGTCACCCCGCTCAGCGCGCACCTCTTGGCACCCCGGCGGCAAACTTCTGCCGCTCCGCGTTCCCCCCACCCCGGCCCGGGGCAGGACACCCCCGCAGACTTGAGTTAACGGGCTGCGGGGCCGCGGCGTTCTGGGGTTATGCTCCCTTACTCCCCAGTCTGTGCTAATTGACCTAACATCGACTCTCCTTAATTTTTTTTTTATTTGTATCTTTCCCTTTTTCTTTAATGCCATTTACTCCCGCGGCGCTGCGCACAAGGAGCCCTCCCGTGCGGTACCTTCCCGGAGCCCTCCCAGGTAACCGGGACGGAGCGAGCGAGCGAGCGAGCGATCTAGAGAGCGAGGGAGGCAGAGAGAGCGAGAGCGAGCGCGCGGCCCGTTTGTGAGCTACCTGTTGGGGAATCGGAGCGGGCTGGGGACCAGAACCTCGGCTGGGCCCCAGCGCCGGCCCCCAGCGCCTCCCACTCCGGCCCTTCCGGGCAGCTCCGGGGTTAGTTTCTCGGAGCTGGGACTGTGGGACTGCCGGAGGGCAGGCGGAGGGACGAGAGCCGAGAGAGCGCAGCCCTAAGAGGGCGCGGGCTGCCGGGAGCCACGGCTGCCCAGCCGGGGCGGGTTTCCGTACTTGGCTCGGGAGGGGCGGGGGAGGAGCGGGAGGAGGGCGCTCCGCCGGGCCGACGCGGAGCGGGAGTGGAGGTAGAGAAAGGGGCCCGGGCGCCAGCCGCTCGCTGGTGGACGCGCGGATCCCCAGGATGCGTCCCCCTCTCCGAGAGTTGTGCCTTGTTCCGGAGGCGGTGACAGATCTGCGTGGCGGGCTTCTGGCTTTCTTGCCCCCCCACCCCAAAATCCACTCTGAGCAAACACATGTTGTAGCTGTAGATAACTGTGCGTAGGACACTGAGGCAAAAGGGCAGGGAGGAAGACAGACAACGCAACCTCTGACAACAGAAAGCTGTTATCGCCATCCTAAGTATTCGTCCGGAAATCTGTCTGCCCTCTCGGCCCACCTTATTCCTCCACCTCCGCCTCCCTAAATAGATATTCTAATCTATGTAACTGGGAATGACATGAAAACGAAGTCAGGTGGCTTAGAGAATGAATGTTTAAGTCTCCGGGAAGTTTGAGGTAGGTATTTCATGGAAGTTCTCTCAAGTGTGGGATGGAGGAAGCTTGTGTTGTGCCTGCGTGTCTCTCTCTCTCTCTCGCTGTCTCTCGCTCTCTCTCGCTCGCTCTCTCGCTCTCACTCTATCTCTCCCCCCTCTCCTTCCCTCTCTTCCCTCTCTGATTCCCTCTTCCTCTCTCTCTCTCTCTCTCTCTTTATCTCTATCCCTCTCTCAGAGCCTCTTTCCCTCTCTGTATGCTTTGAGGGCTGAGATGGGACTTCTGATTGGTAATGCCACTTTTGTCCACAAGAGGGCAACATCCCGAGGGCTTTGTAAGCGTATCTTGCTTGCTGCAGGCTTGCTTGGGTTTAGAGAAAGTTACAACTAAACTTTCAAAGTGATACCACGTCTTATGTCGTGATACTGGAAAACCGAGAAAAGCCTAAAAAGAAAGGAGAGAAAGAGAAGTGAAGCGAGGAGAAAGAGAAAAGAGGCGGCAACCCTACCTCTGGAGGAGAGCCCCAGTCACACCGGGACTAGGGGGAGGGTTGTTGTAATTGTGGGTTTGGCCGGCTGACGACTGGAGTGCCCTCCTCGGCTGTCTCAGTTGTAGCCGGAGGTCATGTAAATCGACCTTAAAAGAATGCATAAGCCATAAATTAAAGTAAACCCTCACCCAAGGGCTGATCCATAAGTAGGCAATATCCAACCTGGACAAAACGAGCTTCCTTTTCGAGCCGACCTAAACCTCATCCCCCCCAAAGAATAGAGGCTAAATGCAAAGTAAGTTTCCTGGCGAATGTTTTGCTTTCTTGAAAAGTCTCGGGTGGATTCACCGTGTGACTGCGATGCCATGGTTTGGGGAGCGCTTCGGTGCCAGGCAGGGTGTCCGTGGGGGTGCGGAAGGTTGGGAGGACCCTCTGAGCGCCTGGCTGCTGAACTAGACATCACCCACACTTTGGTTAGCATACTGTGGGGTGTGTTTTGGGGGGGAGGGGGTTGACGCCGCGAGGGCGCCAGGAATGGACGACCTCCGTCGCCTCTTCCGCCCGAGTCAAGTTTACTCAGAGGAGTTCGCAAAGGAAAAACCCGGGTCGCTAGAAAACGCGTGCGCTGTCTCCCCTCGCCCGCACCCGCGGACGCTGCGCCGCAACTTTCCGGGGACTTTGTGCGAGTTGTCTCCAGCTCCTCTCGCTTCTCTCTCTCCCTCTCCCCTTCCTCTCTCTTATCCTTGGGCATTACGTTTTCACGATCTTTTCAGGAGTCAACACACCGGACTCCAAGGCGGTCTGAACCCAAGGGCGAATCTGTAGTCCCCTCTGGCCCAGGACGCGAGGCGGTGGTGCCTAGCCTGATGGGGGCGTGGGTGAGGGGCAGCCCAGTCGGCGCCGGGCAGGCTCGGCCTCGGCGTTCGCTGGCCCAGCGCAGTTTCTCGCCTGGCTCCGCGTCTCGGTCCGCGCCCTCGGTACCTCTCGGCTCCCTGCCGGGTCCCGCTGCCCGCCTCGCGCTCCGCAGCCCGGCCTGTGTGCGGCTCGAGGCCCGGTCCGGGGCTGGGGGCGGTGCTGCCGCCCAGCTCCCGGCCCACCCCAGTCCCGCTGCTCCCGGGGGAGCAGCCTTCTTCTTTCTCCCTTAAAGGGCTGGGCGGAGAAGGAAAGGGGCTTGGTGCAGAAGCTGCCGGGGCTGCACGCCGGCGTCCCGAGGAGAGGCCAGGGCTGCGGAGGACCGATTAGCCCGGTGCCCGGCGGGGTCTCTGACGTTCTGCGGAGCTTTAAGATAAAAAGAGAGTTGGTGTGTTCGGAGCAGATATAAGGTGGTTGTTGCAGGCGTGTTTGATTCAACTGTTTTACTCTGGCCAAGTTTGAAAACGTTTGTCAGAATTACCAGATATTGGAGATCGGTCCAATTTGGGGACTAAAAATAAGCCTTCAGCGGGGCTGGAGGGGCTGGGCTGTTAACAAGATGGGCTGTTGTGGGCTGTTTCCCGGTGCGGGACCTCCTGCGAGGCCGCAAAGTTTCGGTCTTGCCTGTCCCAAAGCGGTCCTCGCGGCCAGCTGGCCGGGCGCCGGACCCTCGCCGCGCTGTGGAGGGGCGCGCGGGTGAGGATGCCTGTCCCGAGCGCTCGCTTCCGGCGCGCACTCCTGCAGCCCGGCTTTTGGCTTTGGGGAGGCGGCCCAGCCAGCAACCCAGTGGAGTAGGGACATGAGAGTCCCCCCTCTCCCCCCGCCCACTGAGGTCCCTTCTTCTGCCCCACGTAGTCACATGCCAAGCCCCCCCCCCTCCTTCCAGGAGAACAGACACAGCCCCGCCCAGTCTATTTCTAGAAGGTGGGTTTAGTGAATAAAAAGGTCAAGTAGTTGGGTCGGCAAGCTGGTCCATGGAGAGGTGGGGGAGGGTAGAGCGGACACCTGGCAAGGCCCGCCCTGCCGGTCCTCCCACCCTGGCTGGCCGGGCCGCCAGCCTTCGGCTGGCCTTCCTAGGCCACATTCTTGCGCTAAGTGCGAGAGGCGGTGGGAAAAGCAATCTCAAAACGGCCAAGAGCCGGCGAAGCTGACCCCGCGATGGCATTTTGTTTTGAGCAGTTGCTGGGGTTGACGTTTCCTCATAAGGTAAGGTGTCACTGGACGGTCGGCTGCCCAAATGCCACATGTATAATTAGCCTGCGCACTCAGCACCTCTTCTCCGAGGCCCATAGGCACGGGTTTGGCTGATCTGATCCGCTCAGCTCACTTCTGAGCTACAGGACTCCCGAGGGAGGGCTGAACCGCCCAGGACAGCCTTGGCAGGAAAGACGTTGACAATGTGGCTATGTCTTTGATTTGTGTTTTTTTTTCCCCTCTCATTTTTCAGCTGAGAAGGAATTACTGGCTAAGAGGGGGTACCCGATAGCAGCAGTAGGGTGCAGACTGGATTGGTAAGGGGGATGCAGAGGAAATTTGGCAATATACTTATTCTCTACGTTCTGCCCCTCGGGAGGACGGCTAGTGCCCCATTGCACTAATCCATTAGGACTAACCAGGTTTGTCACTGTATGTCCTGGCTTGGGTGGGGATTTCAGACTTCCAGTTGGACTGTTCACCTGTCTCTGACCCTTCCCTCGCTCCTCCCCCTCATCTCCCCCCCACACCCCCCAGGTCTCTCAGCAAGTTAAGCGTCTGCTTTGGTTGCAGCTTCTGGTCCCCTGTTTAGGCCTAGCCGCTTGGGGCTGCTAGTGATCCTGTGGGGGAACCTGGAGAGATCTGCTCTCTGTCTTAGTCATGTTCAGTCTGGGGTTCTCAGGAGCAGTGCCATGTCCTCTCTGTCAGCTGAGATTGGTGCTTAAACTTCCTACCTAGCTTTCCAGATCCCAGCCTTAGGTCAGCTTTAACCCACACTCTGGCAGAGAACAGATTTCTGCAGCCGTGAACATGACCTTCCCTCTGTCACCCTGCGCAGTCACTGGAATTCAACACTCAGCATTAGGCACTTGCATCATTCTCTCTCCTCCCCTTGTTTCTAGGCCACTAAGATATGCCCGATACCTACTAGAAGATTTTAAAATTTCAAAACAAACAAGCGAACATTTTAAATCTTCCACAAGTTTGGTGGACAGAGTTAGCTTTTCTGTGGCAGCAAGAGCATGCTTTTCCGGGTGGGAAGTAGGTACATGGTATATTAAGTTTCATTTGCTTTTTGTTGAATCAATGTAATATTTTCTTATAGCATGAGAAAAGTTATGACTAAATTTTTCGACTCTTTTGGCCCCCATGTGTATTATCTAGGCACTTTTGAGGATATCTTTTAAAAATACAACATTTGAGCTCATGGTAGTCAAAATGACATGAAGATTTTTTTCTCCTCCATTTCTGAAAGCCTCACAAATCAAGAGAGTTTGTCCCTGTTCTTAAAAGAGATTAAACAGCCAAGAAATCATTGAAATCTTGAAATCAAATGTGCTCTAACTTATTAGATCTAGTTATGACCAAAGACATAGCAAATAACCAGGATCCAGATATCAAGTATAGTTCACTAATTCTTTAGGCAAACTGACATCCTTAGTTGCTTTTCTTATGTATTGGTATCACCTTCTATCCCTATATGTTCTTCCATATTCCTTTAATTCCTTTTAGTGGCAAGACTAGGAAATCTTTTGTTTATTACCTATTCTGTTTATTGTTACATTTATTTATTGTCTTAGAAGAGATGAAGAGAAACTTTCTCTTGGTATATGTGTATTTTATAAATGCAATTTTAAAATTAGAGTGCGTGATACCAGTTCCTATAATAATATAGTTTAACAACAACACTTAATATTATATTGTGAAAATGAATGTAAAATATTATTAATAAGCATGTCTTTAGCTGATTAAGATATAGCTGAATATTTGATGAGTGAGATTCAGTAGGATGAGAGTATTGTCTGTTGAGCATCTTCATTAGTAACAGAATACAACAAATGTTTTTCATTATAAGGGAAAAGCATGTATTTACATTATGGTAATATAACTAGGAAATGTTTCTCTTACAGAGCTTTAAAATATATTGCTTTAAACACATAAATGAGGAATTTTGGTGACAGTATTGAGATTTTATGTCTGCTATAATTGACCTGTGTTAAGAATTATTGGGTTATTGGTCATTGATTGAATTGCTGTGCACATTCATTTTATGGGGAAGAAGTCAGTGATATTTTAAATGGTTTTCTTTCCATTAATATAATAGGTACTGGAACAAAGGAATTTTCTTTTGAATAAAGCTTAATATGCATCAGCTTTAGTTCTTTAAATGTGTTCTATACTTTTCAGCTTTGATGGTTTTATATCTTTTTTCATGTTTGAAAGAATTCTTTTATTAGGGAGAGAATATGCATCTGTATTTTTGCTATTAACGAATAACCTTCTATGAAAGTGTAGTACAGTACACCTAAAATTTTCCTTTATCTAAGAACCATCTGTTTAAATATAGTTTTAGGGATGCATATATATCAATTGATGTTTTTGAAGTCCAGTGAAACATTCCATCAAGCTAATGTGTCTGAGAGTACCATATCAGGCACAGACAGGTACTAGAAATGATAAAACACAGATAACTTGCAGCAAGATGATTTGCAGATGGGATGTATTATCTATTCTCATGAGGTTAGAAGGGTCATATTACCATTTTTTCTCAAAATTAATCCAGGTTATTTCAGAATATTCAATTTATGTAGAGGTAAAAGATCTAATGAAGCAGATTTTGTTATGGAAACCTGCTAAAAATGAACAGAATACTCATTACTTTTTAGAGGAAGAAATGGAATATCTGTGAGTTTGTTTGGGTTGCATCTAGTTTAAGAGCTATGGCTTTTCCTATTTTTTTCTAACAATGAAAATAAGGTACCAGAACAATTTATATCCTCAAACAGATTACACGTTATCTACTGCTTATGCCCCAAATGTCAAAATATTCTAGTTAAAAAAAGCCAGTTCTCTGTTAAGAGTATATGAAAAATAGTTTTCATTAGGTAAGAGCCCATTTTAAATTTATATAGCATATCTTTTCCACTTGTAAGTTCTCCAGTTGTGATCTAAAAACTGTTTTGTGTGAGTTCTATAAGAAACTCTTATCACCCTCTCCTTAAATATTTGTCATCCATCCTTAGTAATAGTGCTTTTATTTTCCTTGTTTTGTGTAAAAGGGCAAAGCTTTTCAGTTAATTATTTTGTTTAGATACTTAGTCAAACTACAGATAGTTCAAAATTTGCATTATGGTTTGGATAGTTCTTTTAAAGTTTTAAGTATCTGATTGTCATACTTGTTACAAAGTATCAATTGAAGACTAGGGGTGGAGGTTAAAAATGGACTATCATTTAAACCCACTATAAACTTTCTCACCTCCCAAAACAGGTTGCTGGTCTGTTTTTCCTCAATCTGTGGTAGTCCCAAGAAGGAACATGAAACCCGAAAACCTCAGAGACGTAGTATTGATTTAATTCTTAACTGCAAATCCTTCATATCATTGCTCAAAATATCCAACTTTACACCAATATTAGCCATTCTTTTTATAGTGACACCATGCTTAGTAAAAAACTTCTAAGCACTGAGGTCAGGTGTTGAGATTGGATTCTAGTTTATTTTTTATGAATCAGATAAAGATTTCTGTGCATGGGACCATATGTGAAGATGAGAGAACAAGAACATTTCCATATCAAAGGCAATATATCTGAGGCTGCATGGTAATTAAAATGCAGTGGTTTGGACTCTGTGCACTAGCACTTAAGCAGAGCATTGCCGGGACCTTGTGCATCATGCAGGCGGTTGCCTCTTGCATACTTCTTGAAATACACTTATAATTTTGTACAAACATTTATGCCAGTCCACACTTTTCTGTGGATAATTTGTATTTCATCCAAACCATTCAAAGTAGAAGTTATTTTTTGAACTACCCCCTCATTATGGCTTTTGTGCATCAACTATTTTTATTCTAGTTGTTTGTATTTCTTTTTACCAGAATGATGGCTTGTTTATATTCAAAATCTCTTCTTGCTCCTCTAAGACCCCTAATATATCACTCATTTTACTAGTCACTCAAAAAACTTTCATCTTTAGGAAAGATGTGAGTTATTTTCTGAGGTTAATTGTAGATTCTACAATCTATTATAAACTAATAAACCACATTAAAAACCAACTGCTTATTTTTACTTTATAATGCTTATGTATTTAGTATTCCCCACTAACTTGCATAATATATAATACTGGAAAAAATTCCTTTTCAAAATGCTTGAGGAATTCTGAGATGTTTCTTTCTGCTTTTTAACATTATGAAAATGTATAGAGGCACTGTCATGCAATTTTTAAGTGAAAAGCAATGATTTGAAAGTGTAGAAATCTTTATATTTATTGAAAGAGCTGTCTCTTTTCATTTATAGGGACATAGGGAGATATTTGATATTATTTATGAAGGCCTGAATTAGTAGCTTAACTTGTTAGTGATAGAATAGTGAAAAAAAAAAAACAAAAAACCAAAAACCCTTAACAATTGGTACTCTAGTGCTTTATATAGTCTAGAAAATTTTGCTTCTGGTAACTAGCTTGAGCTTACTGCTTTGTAATTTCTGAATTTTTCTATTTCTGCATTTTCTCTCTGTCTATGAATATTCTGCTTTAGTGTATATTGCAAGAAATTCACTGGTGTATTTTATTCCTAAATTCCCATGGGCTATAAAGCTTTTTAAAGATTTCTGTGGATTGAAATACATCATGTATTGAAGCCTAATAAGACATTATAAATCCTTTAAGAATTGTTTGTTTTAACTATTTTGGATTAAATTACTTAAGTATACTGGCTCAGTGCTTTTGAAGGATGACACGCATAGTCATAATAAGTATAAGATAAATGTATGATATGATGTGTACATTGAAGTATGCAAATATCCCATATTCTGTCATTTTAACTTCTCTCTTGGTCTCTTTCTTGTCCAGAAATATCACAAGGTATTCCTTTGAATGATATTTTTTTTCTATTACCTTTTATAATTTTTTGTTTCCATCTTCGTAACGAGATATTCATTCAAATGCAAGAAGGGACTTTAGTGCTATTTGTGATTTTGCCTACACTGAGCATAATATCTGTTTCTTTGAAAAGGTAGTTCTTTAAATTTAGACAAAGAAAATTAAAGATATTTTACTTTTCAGGACAATGGAAACTCAGTATCTAGAAAAAAGAAAAGCAATTGCAACATACTATGCCCCCACCAAACAAAACAAAACAAACAATATAATAAAAAGAGATAATATAGTTTCTAAATGGAACCCATTCTTTGTAATGGTTGCATGGTTTTACACTGAACAAATAGATCTGGGTAATGTAATTGAAGCCTTCTTAATTTCTAGGCACCCTGAAGTGCATCTTTGAAGGCAGGAGTCTTTAATTTTTAAGGACTTTTCTACTGAAGATATTTGCTAGGTGAGGAAATTTAGGTGAGTTACTTTGATGCTAAAGAAATCATTGATAGAACTGGGTAAGAACTGTCCCTAAATTCTAAGGAATAGTTCATTGTTCTTTTTTGGGAAGTAATATCAAAGGACATGTGGTTATTTTCTCAATTTAAAAAAATCAAGGGAATATTATAATTATCTCAGAAATACTATCCAACTATCATCATGAGCATGAAGCCATCTATATATGAGAAATCAGCCCTATCTAACCATATTGAATCCTCAATCCTTAATTTCTTTACCTATAAGATGGAAGCAGAATAATAATAGAATTATTACGAATTATTGTGATAGTAATTCTATTATCATAGAATTATTGTGAGGATTACATGAGATGAATGTAAAGCACAAAGATCAGGAATTTGTATAAAATAAACATTTAATATATGTTTTCTATTACTATTGAAGCTGTATTAAGCATTATACATATCTGGCTCCCCATTAGAACTTTACTACATACTTGCTATGTATTATTTGGCAAGTTATATAACATGCTTCTTATATAAAATAGAGGGACAGCAATGTAAGCTCTTTTTTTTCTTTCCTAGAAAGAAGAATTCATCTGAATTCTAGAAGACTTGGGATAGAGTCCCAAGTGACTAAAGGTAGGGTCATGATATACAGCTTCTAAGATTTGATGAATTCCCATGCTAAGGACTAGAAGAGATTTAAATTTTATTTTACCTGTCATTCCATGTAGTTTGATCAGCCTTTTTCCATTCTAACCAATTAAGAACTCTCTTCCTTTGAATGCCTACAAAGAGGGGAATTTGATAATTACTTTGGTTGTATATATAACAGAGAGAATTCTTTTGTCTACAGAACATACTTTAACATGTTTTATTTTGATTTTATTTTAAGAAAACAGTGGAAACATTTTTTTTTTAATAGGATGATAGACCTGTATGTGTAACAACCCAAATTAAGCTTTCAAATTTGTATTTGTTGGGTCTTTTCCTCTTTTTTTTTTTTTTTTTGGTGGGTCATGGGGCTTGAACTCTGGGCTTGGGTGCTGTCCCTCAGCTCTTCAGCTCAAGGCCAGTACTCTATCACTTGAGCCTCAGCACCACTTCCGGTTTTCTAGTGGTTTATTGGAGATAAGAGTCTCACAGACTTTCCTGCCCAGGCTGGCTTTAACCATGATCCTCAGATCTCAGCCTCCTGAGTAGCTAGGATTACAGGCATGAGCCTCTGGCGCCTGGCTGGGTCTTTTCTTTTATAATCTGATTTCCTAAACTAGTTATCTGACCTTGAAAAAGTTATGCAACCTCTTCAGGCTTCCACTTCCTCATTTTTAAAATGGGATGGTGGTAGAATTTATAGAATTATTGGGAAATTTATGTTTGAAATTTATTGTATGCAAAAGTGTGTAGCACACTTCTGGATAACTATGTTAGGATGAATTGACAATTGTTTTATGATCAATATTAGAACTACAGGCATGAGAAAGGACCTTTAATTCTCTTGTACTTTATAGAACTTCCTGGTTTTAAAGTGCTTTCATTGCTTCATTCAATAAAAGGTATATAGGATAGATAAACTTACCAGTCGTCCCAGTCATACTGTCTAACTTTCCATTTGATATGAACAAATGTTTCAATTGAGCTTTGCTTCAGGATATTATTTACTCCAAACAAAGCTGGTAGATCATAAATCAGAGCTGTTTTTTTTTTTTAAATTTCCCGTCTCTTTGATAGGATGTCAGCACTCATTTATTTTATCTTTATGCTTACCTCCAGAGCCAAACCATTATGTTGGTGTATTTACCATACATGAGTTCATGAGTTAGGATTAATGAAAGGATCCTTGATAGTGAAAAGGTTGGGAACCACTCAATTACAAAAAGATTAAAGAAATGCACAGTCTTAGAATGGAGGTATAAATATGGGTCATTCTAAAGAGTGTGCTAATTATTATAATGGAGGTAAATATAAACACAAAGGTATTCATGTCAGGTAAAGTACCTAGTAGGTGGTGACCTTAGATTTGTGATTTCAAGGATGAGGAATGGGAGAATTCAGGTAATAGCCTAAAAGAATATTAACCATGAGGAGCATTTGCTATTATTACTTAATATCTGGAAAGAAAATGGTGGTTAGGGCTTGCTTTGCTTGCCCTTGCATGCTTGAGGCCCTGGGTTTGATTCCTCAGCACCACATAAGCAGAAAAAAAAAAAGCCAGAAGTGGCACTGTGGCCCAAGTGGTAGAGTGCTAGCCTTGAGCTGAAAAGCTGAGAGACAGAGCCCAGGCCCAGAGTTCAGGCCCCACAACTGGACCCCCCTCAAAAAAAAAAAAAAAAAAAAAGGAAGTGGTACTTAGAGAGATCACCGAAGTGATAGTCTTGATTTCCAATGGCCTTAACCTCTTTCTTTTTATTAAATCACCGCTTTGTTATGCTTTGACATCTAAAGACTTGTGCTATTGATAATATTAACAACTCAATAATGAAATTTCTACTTTAAAAAGAAAGGCCTTAAAGTTGTATAAAGGAAGGTGGGGGAAGTATGAATTTTTTTTTTTTTTTGGTGCCAGTCCTGGGGTTTGAACTCAAGGCCTGAGTGCTGTCCCTGAGCTTTGGTGCTCAAAGCTAGGGACTAGCACTCTACCACTTGAGCTGCAGCTCCATTTCTGTTTTCTTTTGGTGGTTAATTGGAAATAAGAGTCATATGGACTTCTCTGCCTAGGCTAGCTTTGAACATGAGCCTCAGATCCCAGCCTCCTCAATAGCTAGGATTATAGGTCTGAGCCACTGGTGCATGGCAGTTGTGAGATTTTTAAGGACATTTTCCTTTAAAAATTTCAATTAAATTTTATAGTAAAAGAAAAGCCGGGCGCCGGTGGCTCACGCCTGTAATCCTAGCTACTCAGGAGGCTGAGCTCTGAGGATCATGGTTCAAAGCCAGCCTGGGCAAAGAAAGTCCGTGAGACTCTTATCTCCAATAAACCACGAGAAAACTGGAAGTGCGCTGTGGCTCTAGCGGTAGAGTGCTCGCCTTGAGCTTAAGAGCTGAGGGACAGCACCCAAGCCCAGAGTTCAAGCCCCACGACCGACCAAAAAACAAAATTAACAAAAATAAATTGAAATAATATAAGAGATTTTAAAAGTTTAAATAATTTGGAACATAACTCAGTGTTAACTAGGTATTAGGTATAGTTTTTACTCTTGATTTGAAGACTCAAATATCCACTAGAGGAAAATTTGAATATTAAAAATTTCTCATTAAAAACTGAAATATTTAGGTCTTGAAAAGAACTTTAATCTTAGGATTTAAAGTTGTATGTTTAGTTTTTATACATTTAATAAAATATTTGTAAGCATTATTAAAAATTGTCAGCTTTTCTGAGGTTAAATCCTTTAAGTTTTTACAGACAACAGTAAGTTCAAGGAATACCTCTACTTGTTTATGTTTGTATAATTTACAGGTATACAAAAGTAGGCTTTTATGTACACTGACTACTTTTGTGTTTTAAGTTGTGTTGAATTTTGTAACAGGTTTCCTTTTTCCAAGAGGGAAAGAAGTATGTGTGTATATGTGTGTGTGTGTGTGTATGCATGTCTGTCTGTCTGTCTGTCTGTCTGTCTGTCTGCCTATCATCTATCTCAGCCTAAATTGAATGGGACCATGTAGACTCAAAATCTTATGTATGACATGACAGGGAAGGAATAAGCAATAGTTTGATTTTTAATTATTATATCATTATATCAAATGACACATCATAATTTTCTGTTTTAGTTGTGAGGTATGTGTCCCATTTCTCTCTTATATCCTTGTAGAATGATCATTAATGTTAACAGAGCATATAGAAAAGTATATTCCTTCACATTGTATATTAGTGCTTTTATTTTGTATTTTCTTAGCACTTTGTTCTCATCTTTATTGTTTCTCTTCTTCCTGTTTGATCTGTGCATAAACTAGTTTCTATAATTAAACCACCAACTCAATAATAGGGCATTTGTATCAATATCTTTCACATTTTTAGAGACTACAATGAAACACTTTTAGTTTTGCTTATATGTGAAAGTTTATACATGGAACATGTCAAAACAGAAATATGATTTCATTAAGTTTAGTAAAAGGGGGCATCCTAAATTATCCTAATTGAGGCCTCTAGTTTGTTAAGTCTACTGTTAATTCATCTTAAAAGTAAATCTCTATGATAACTTTTTTAGGTGTTTGTTTTAATATAAGAACATAGAAGCACTGTACCTGATCTACATTCCTTGACTAGAATGAAAGGAGGAAGTCTTTTCAGTACCTTAGGTCAAAGGGACAGAATTTAGGATATTAGGAGAGAAGGAAATAAAGATCTTAACTGGTTTTGAAAGTCTAAGAACAATTGGAGCGTATTACTAGTTAGGAATATTTGAAATAATTCTTCTGTCAGGACAATTTTTTTTTGGTCAGTATAGGTGCTGAACTCAGGACCTGGGCGCTGTCCCTGAGCTTTTATGCTCAAGGCATTCTACCACTTAGAGCCACAGAGCCACTTCTGGTTTTCTAGTGGTTAATTGGAGTTAAGAGTTTCACAGGGACTTTTCTGACTGGGCAGGCTTCGAACAACAATCCTCAGATCTCAGCCTCCTGAGTAAGCTAGGATTACAGGCTTGTGCCACTGGTGCCCAACCTGTCAGGACAATTTTTAAAATTTATTTGTGAAAACTTCTGATGTAGTGCAATAGTGCTCTGCAAACTTTTCAGTAGAGCAAATGCCCGAATGCTTATGCCCGTTTATTTTAAACTATAGACATCTAATGTGTCACCCTATGCTATAAAATAGTCATACATAGACATTTAAAAGAGATATATATGAATTAAATACTTAAAAACTAATCATTTTCAAGCCCTGTACTCTAGAACATTGTTTGCTATTTTTAAAAGCCTTGTGAGAGGATGAAGTGATTTAAAAATCTGACTTTAGTAACCTTTGATATAAATGTGTGTCTATGTATGTATTACTAGTTATATATGTTGTGTTTTCCAGATAATATTTAACAATATGAATGTTTTGAAAACATTTACTTCCTTATTTGATAAAATATTATCTTTACCTTGAAGAGGCACATTGATTGCTTATATATATGTAGATGCCTATCTATCTGTCTATCCAACTTATAGAACTAATAACACACTCACAGCTTCTCATCATATAAAAGTTCAGCATATTTGCGATGCTAGTTTTTAGTATTTTATCCTTAAGTCTGATAACTGAGGAGATAAGTAGTGGAATCTGTGGGTGACAAAAACAATTCTCATAGTTACTTCCCATCTAATTTCAAAGCATTGCAAAGATTTTCCTATATTTTACAAGGTTATTCCATTATTGTGTAACATTGGTCTTCAACATTTTGCTGAAAGTGCTTTGGCTACTGTAGTTAATGAGGCCAGTGGTCCTATTTGTGTTCTCTTACTGGCCCCCTTTCCTTTCGGTTCAGTTAGGTGACTACTTCAGCAGTGATTCCACTTACTTAGTTTGTTTTAGAAGTTATTTGTATCCAAACAAATTACTGTTGGGATTATATATTCTCTAGTGTGTATTTCAGTGGCTTACCTTGCCTATGAAATATCATAAACTGAGTCATATTAAGAAATATGTGCATTCACTC